GGGATGTGGGATTGGGGGGGGAGAAAGGGAAAGGTATATAATTGTAAAACTTATTAAAACTTTTAATTAAAAAATATTATTTATGCTCTCAAGATTCTTTGCCTTTTCCAAGTTTGATTTATGGCTGTGGGTTAGATGAATTTTCTTACCAGTCTTTCATCTCTTCCTCACACTTCTGTCCATTTGCTTCAGCTGGAAGTCAGCTTCTTGTGCAGCATGTTGCCATGCTGCCACCCCTACTCCGATTCAGAGGGCAAATCTCTGACCTGCGAGGGACCTGTTGCCTCCCCCTGGATCTGATGAGACGCTGTCCCTCCCTCCCCCCCACCCACCCCCGGTCTGTCCAGCTGGAGAACTTCCGGTCGACTCCCACACAGTTTGTATATTACAAATTATAACTCCTCGCTGTTTATACATTGGACACGTTTGTAAATAATCTGTATATTATCGCTTAACTTTTCATTTTTAGTTTTCCAAAACTCAGAAGCTTGAATGCTTTGTGACAGCCATCTCCAATTTAACAGTATTCAATCCAGCAACCAGGATTTCCTATCTTTGGCCATGCAAGCTGGGAATTAAGGACACCTGCCATAAAAGGAAACGTCATTTGTCTTTTCTAGATCTTCCATATTCTGTTTGGAATTGAAACTATGTTACAGGGTGAGAGGAAGTTTTAAATTATAGATGAAAGGTTGCTCTACTGATGAATGAATCTCTGGCTCCCTGGGATTGTCAGGAAACAGAATATGGAGAAGTGCTGAATGAGAGTAGCCTTGGCCAGGTCTACAAATGAACATTTCAGGTATTACTTGATAAAAATATCCTCAAGAAGGTATAATCTATGCCACGCGTGTCAAATTTGCCACGTCACGTCATCATGTGATGGTCTGCAATATTTTTCCCATTCTTGGAGCTGGGGTGGGCATAGCCTGTGCGTGACGCATCTGGCCCATGAACCGCCAGTTTAACACCCCTGATCTATGCCAAAGATTAAAACATTCTTGTACACACTTGGAAATTTTTTTGAATAAAGTTTAGAGAGATGATCTGAGGTAGCTTGCAGTCATGAGTGTGTTGCTAGACCCCTCCACTGCTACCTACTGTTTGAAAGAGGCTTGTCATAAGAAAAAAGGATGGCAACATGCTGCACAACAATGCACTTGCCTGCAGCTTTGTATCTATTTGCAAGAATCCCCCTTCAGCTTATCAAGGAATGATAGAAAACATCCTAGTAAATGAATGTTTTTGACGGCATGTGGAAGTACATCTGCCACATGCTGTCAAGATTTCAGATGTGCCTTTGTCTTAAGAGGTTGCCTACCTCTGTTCTAACTATTGTTGAATCGCAACTCCCTGTAGCCTCAGCCAAACGTGGCCAAAGATTAACTATTCTGGGAGTTGTAATTCAACAAAATGAAAGGGATTAATGTAAAGCAGGCCACTCCTGCTTTAGATCAGGCTTCGGATGCTTACAGCTTGTTGTTTTCAAATGTTGCACAGTTGGTGTAAGCCTTTCTTTTTCTGAATCCCCACTTTTTCTCAGATGGAAGTCTGAGTGAGGAGGCTCCAGGACAGACAGCTCCTCCAACCCCAAGCCATCACTATGCCAAATCCCTCCCTGTCTCTGTGCCTATCTGGGGCTTTAAAGAGCAATGCCAAGAGATACGATCCTCTGATGAAGAGAACAGTAAGGTGGGTCGAAGTAAGGCTGTGCACCATGAGAGGCCATCCTCTGGGGAAGCAGAATGGCTATCAGGGCCTTTTCCTTTTTCTTGGGTGTCATTGGAGCTTTGCTGACTAAGTACAGGTGGTCCTCAAATTACAGCCATTCATTGAAAAATATGACTTACAGCTGGTCCTCACACTTATAACTTCCCCAGCATTCCCATGGTTAGTGATCCAAATTCTGGCAACTGGCATGTATTTATGACAATTGTAGTGTCCCAGGGTCATATGATCACCATTTACCACTTTCCCAGCAGGCTTCTAACAAACAAAATCAAGGAATAATGCTAGATTTATTTAACAACAACATGATTCACTTACCTGCAGTGATTTGCTTAACAACCGTGGCCAAAAAGGGTCATAAATCAGGCATGATTCATTCCACCACCACTTTGCTTAGCAGTGGAAATTCTGGTCCCAATTGTGGTCATAGGTCAAAGACTACCTGTAATAAAATCCTTGAGGGGGAGTTGTTGTGGCTGAGCCTGTTTCAGTCTGCAGACTGAAAGTAGAGAACAAAATACTTAATTCAGCAAAACTGAGTGACCACCTTGAGTATATTTTTCAGTTCTAGCTGCCATCTTTTAAGGAACACTCTGAATTTGCAACACATTAAAGGAGGTTGCTCAGGGACTTAAATTACATCTTTGGAGATAAACTGGGGCAACGTAGTATATTTGTGCTAGAACCTGAAAGAATGTCTTACAAAAAAAGATTAAAAATCTGTTCTTCATCATCCCAAAGGATTGGAACACAGGAAAATGCTCTGTTACAGGAAGGCAGATCAAAGCAGGCAAACTGAATTGTGTAGAAGACTTTCTAACAGTAAGAGCAGTTCAAGCCAAATACCCACAGATGTTGTGAGCTCCCTGCATTAGATACGTTTAAAGAAAAGTCAGGCAGCAATTTTGTCAGCCATGCTTTAACATGGGCTCCTGGACTGTGCAGGGCACTGAACCGCATCCAACTCTCTATTTTATATAGTTGGTCATAGTTTGGAATAGCAAATTCATAGAAACACAAGAGCCTAATGCAAAGTTTCCCAACCTTGGCAATTTCCAGGTATATGGACTTCAACTCCCAAGAATTTCACAGCCAGCAGACCCATTTCTGAGAAGTCTGGGAGTTGAAGTCCACTCCTCTTCAGTTTGGAAAAGTTTGGTTGGGAAACAGTGATCTAAGGTTTGGCTCTTTCTCCACTATCTTGACCATTTAATTGTGCCTACCCATGTTCCTTCGAAAATACGACCAGGTCTTATTTTCTTTTGACCCCCGAAAAAGTGACTAGGGCTTCTTTTCGAGGGGTGTCTTAATTTCCCCCCCCACGTGCCTCGCCTGGCCACCAGGCCGCTTTCGCACCCAAAAGGAGCAACCCACTCACCCAACATGCCTTGCCTGGCCACCGGGCTGCTGCTTTCACGGCTGAAAAGAGCGAGCGATGCAACCCATACACCTTGTGCACCCTTGCCTACCTGTAACAGTCACTTCAGCAACCAGAAAGCCTGTACACACACGTGCTTATATAGGGCCCAATTTTGGGGGTAGGGCTTAGTTTTAACGCATGTACACAAAACAGTGCTGTGCCTTCTTTTTGGGGTGGGTCATGAAACACAGTAGTTCAGTTATGACTTTTGGCTTTATTTGTCCTTTCTCAACTCATCCCTACACCTAGCATTGTTTACCCATAAACCACTTAAGTAGGTGTAATGATGAAAAGGGAAATCCTACAGTTATATACTTCAGAGGAAGAGTTTACAAAAAGGGGCTTCAAACCAGTTTCTGGGGAAAAATCAGAAGTGGCCTGCAGTTCCTTACACACGTTAAAGCTTTCATCCTTCCCAGCAGGTAATGGAAAATGGCAGATAGGTAGTCCTTGACTTATGATCACATTTAAGACCAGAATTCCCCTCCCTAAGCAAGGGGTTAAATGACTCACACACAATTTCACTACCGTTTTTGCCATGATTAAGCAAATCACTGCAGTTGTTAAATGAATCACGCAGTTGTTGATCAAATCCAGCTTCCCCCACTGACTTTGTTGGAAGCCAGCTGGGAAGGTCACAACTGGCAATCACATGACACACACACCCCTAGCAACTATCTTAAATGTCTGTTGCCTAGCTACCAAATTTTGATCATGTGACCTTGGGGTGCTGTGACATGCAAACCAAGGACTACCTGATATTAGCATTTTGTGTAGAAAATCAGCTTTCTAGGTTGGTTCTTGTCTTCTTAATTAAGAATATAAACTGGTATAGAAGGAATACAGGTAGTCCTTGACTTACGACCACCATTAAGCCCAAAATTTCTGTTGCTAAGTGAGAGATTTGTTAAGTGAGTTTTGCTCCATTTTATGACCTTCCTTTCCACAGTTGTTAAGTGAATCGTTGCAGTTGTTAAGTTAGTGATAGTTGTTAAGCAAATCTGGCTTCTCCATTGACTTTGCTTATCAGGTCACAGAAGGTAGTCACATGACCCCGAGACACTGCAACCGTCATAAATTTGAGTCAGTTGCCAAGCGGCTGAATTTTGATCATGTGACCATAGGGATGCTGCAACGGTCATAAGTGTGAAAAATTGTCATACATCCTTTTTCAGTGCCATTGGAATTTCGAATGGCTACTAAACGAACTGTTGTAAGTCGAGGACTACATGTAATGGTGGAAGAGAAGTCAGATTCATAGTGGTGGCTTCTCATTATCAGTGACAGCAAGAACAACGGAAGAAAAAGAAATTTGGAGATGCAGGAGGAAAAGCAAATGAGTTCTCCATTTTCTCTCTTCCATTCCTCTTTGCAGCATTCGTCTCCTGACCTCGAGAAGATTGCCGCCAGCATGAGAGCTCTGGTGCTGCGGGTTTCAGATGGCACAGAGATGTTTGGAGACCTGCCTCGGCCACGCCTGAATACGAGTGACTTCCAGAAGCTGCATCGGAAATATTAATAGATCTGGCCATTGGTCCTACCGCCTCGGCGCCGTTTTCCTCCACTACCAAAAATCGGTAGACAGGGTTCAGAGCCCCTCTCAAGCCATACTGTTCAAATTCTGTCCTCCAGCCTTTGCTCCCCACAAGCTTTAATTTAAAATGAGTAACCTCAGTTTCACACTACAGATGGGCTGGAGGGGTTAATTACCTCCTTTTTTACAATTGAAAATCCTCCGCTTCTATGATTTGAACACTAAGACCAGTGTTTCTCATCTGTGGTAACTTTTAAGATGTGTGGACTTCAATTCCCAGAATTCCCCAGCCTACTTTTAATCAGATTTTCAAGGGCTGTTTCTGGTTCAAACCCTCTATTTTTGTCCAAAGATGATTGGTGAATTGGAAGAGAGGATATTTTTTTTCTCCTTCCTGCCAGCCTATAAACCAAAAATAATAATAAAAAGGTTGTCTTTTACCAGCTCCTTTTGCTGTATTGTCTTTCTGAGTTTTTGGAGTAGAAATCAGCTGTGTTGGCTGGAGTTCTGAAGCGCAAGTTGGATAAATGTCTATGGAGATTCTCAGTCATCCAGGTCATGGTTGCCCCAAAGGTGCTTTTTTCAAGAGGCAACTGGACTTTCTGGTTTTTCTTTGAAGACGTTTCGCTTCTCATCCAAGAAGCTTCTTCAGCTCTGACAGGATAGTGGGGAATGGAAGGATGGAAGGATTTATACTCCTTGCACACAGCTGTTCATTTGCATTGTTTTAGTGGGTCATTAAGGTCACCTGGAGGTTTATCTGTGTCATCAGGGTCACAGATGCAAATGGGTGTGGAGCCTGCTTGGAACTGTTGAAAGGACTGTGTTGTAGACTGGAGATAGATGTCCTATCCCTCCCCCTCTGTTGAGAGAGGGCTATTCAATTTTAACATGGATGGCCTCTTTAACCCCTCTTTCAAACCAGCAGTCCTCTCTGTCCAAAATATGGACTTTGTTGTCTTCAAAAGAGTGGCCTGTGTCTTTTAAATGCAAATGGACTGCTGAATCTAGTCCTGATGTGTTTGTTCTCCTATGTTGTGCCATAGGAGTATACATCCTTCCATTCCCCACCATTCAGTCAGAGCTGAAGAAGCTTGGATGAGAAGCAAAACATCTTCAAAGAAAAACCAGAAAGTCCAGTTGTCTCTTGAAAAAAGCACCTTTGGGACAAGTTGGAGAAATATAAATTAAATAGAAAAAACACCAGGGAAGTATCCAGAAAGTTAAAGCATTGAAATTGTACTCCAAGTAATATACTCCTCGACTTACAACAGTTCATTTAATGACCATTTAGTTACAACAGCACTGAAAAAAGTGACGACCATTTTTCACACTTATGACCGTTACAGCATCCCCCAAGAGGTGAGGATTTTCCAGACCTCTCTGAGGCGCCAGGCAAAGGTTATAAATCGGGCGAAAGGTTATACAAACAGACACGGCAAGACAGGAGAAAGAACAAAATGCATCAAATCCACCCACCCACCCCTCTTCATCCACCAAAGCATGGCAGATACATGGATCTGACAAAAATGAAAAATCCACCTGGAAAGACATAAAACATACAGGTGAAACTCAAAAAATTAGAATATCGTGCAAAAGTTCATTTATTCCAGTAATGCAACTTAAAAGGTGTGAAACTAATATATGAGATAGACACATTACATGCAAAGCAAGATAGTTCAAGCCGTGATGTGTCATAATTGTGNCTTCTAAAATAGCCATGTGCTTTAGTTCCCTTATACCATAAAAAAGCATGCCATCCCAACAGTAAGTCATGACCTTCTACATTCAATAGTCTAGATTTTTTTGGGATCACACATTCTCTTTGTGTTCCCTTCCGTTCCATAGCCATCCGTCCCCACTTCATCAGCCTAAGCTGTCTTTTGTCACTAGCTTGAAGACTTTTTTCTGCTTTTTTCAGGGATTTTGCAATATCCCCGAAATCAGCAAGATGTATTCTTCCTGTTCACCGTCTCTTCGGGACAGTTTAGGTCCGATTGAACCCCTAGTGGCAAAAGTACCAGCTGCAGTTTCAGAGCATCGAGACTGCACGTCTGTACTGTGGGGACATTGGCACCTCCGCTGCAATGATTGTTGTGGCGTTGTTCGTGCAAGCGGCAGCACCACTGCGAGCTTCATCACACCAGCATAGCTGGTGTCCTGCAGAGATCCTGGCTTGTTTCTTTCCCCCCAAACTCCATCAGAAATGGGTCTTCGCATGGTTTGTCATACCAGCACAGCCTCCCGCAGGATGCTGCAAGGCTTGTTGTGGTGTTGTGCGAGCAGCGGCACTGTCGCAAGGTTCGAAATACCGGTGCAGCAGCTTGTGGCAGGATGCCAGCTGTGCCGGTGTAATTAAGCTTGCTGCCACCGCTCACACACACAATGCCACAACAAGCCTTGCAGCGTCCTACAAGAGTTTGCGTCGTTATGACAAACCTCTTGGAGACCCATTTCTGGTGACGTTTGGGGGAAAGAAACAAGCCAGGGTCTCTGCAGAACACTGACTGTACCAGTGTGATGAAGCTCATGGCGGTGCTGCCGCTCACACATGCAACGCTACAACAAGCCTTCCAGCAGTCTCTGAAGTGAGGCGTGGGAGGAGTCACACATGGGTATTAACACAGCCTTTTTGCCCTGGAGACTGCGGTAAATTTTGAGGCCACACCTCCATTCCTCCTCTGACCTCCCAGATTAACCTCAGTCTCCGGCCCAGAAGGAGTGTTTACCTGACTCTCCCTCACTTCGAAGATTTCAAGGATTTTTCTCCAGAAAAAAATTTCTTTAGGCTTTACCTTTTGGATTGCTTCACCCCTCCTCAGCTGTGCTCAGCGCCACTAGCTTAAGCCGCGCCGCTTGTTAGCACGAACCCAGGCGACCAGACAGTCGCGTAAAGGGGTAGGAAGCTCCACGCCACGTGGTGCGCATGGAAGGGTTGTACGCCGTCCAGGAGGCCCTCGCAGAACATCGGAGGATTGGGGACCCAGCAAGGATCGTCCCCCAACGTTCCCAAGAGATCGGGTCGCAGATCGGCAGCCGCCATCTTAGTCCTCCGCCATCTTAGGAGCACATGAGAGCGTGTGACCGGCGTTCCTTCTACGGACGCCGAAAGCGCTCAGAAGAGACACCGTCGAAGCCGGAAGAGGCTTCTAAGGCCCTAACTCCGCCGGCAATCCGGGGAGGGCCCAAATTCAGGCGGTGCGCCAGCAGTCGGGCCGCAGATCGGCGGCAGGGATCGCAGGAGCGCGGAGCCTAGGTAGGCAACGCGCACTACAGGCGATGCTGGCAAGAAGAGAGTAGGTGGTGAACAGCATAACCGTGAGTACTATGGCGGACGCGGCGAGGAGTGGGGGTGCCGGGCCCAGAACACCAGGGGATTTAGATCCGGGCGAGGGGACCTCTGGGAAGGAGGTTTGGATTACCAGGGCCTCTAAAAGAAGATTCAGGGCCACCATCAGCCCCTCTCCTTCCAGATCTCGCTCCCCCCACAGGCTCCCTGTTCTGGCTTCCCTGGGTTCCCCAAGGGGCTCAGGCAGAGGCCGCAGCTCCCTATTGCCCCCCCCATCGCCTGCCCATCCATCGGAGGCTAGGGGAGACCCCTTTGGGCGCAGGGCCTCCAGCCCTGCCAGGCACTGGCTGGCACCGCAATCCCCTGATCCAAGGGAGTTCCTGCATCCCCCAGAGCTGCACCCCGTCATTCCAGTCCTTCCACTGAATTTTCTTCTGATTCAGAGGATGACCTCTCTCCTGCTGCATCCATCTTGCAGCCCGAGGACGCTAGAGGCACAGTTAGATTGGCCAATAGTGGGGATGATTCGGATTGTGACAGGAGCATCACTCCTGATGAGGATCCCCTCTACCAGGAAAATATTTCTCACTCTTCAAGCCAACGCCTTTCTTATTCACCAGGCATGGCGGACATGATTTCTGAGGCCATTGAGCGTGGTATTGTGGCAGGCCTTAAATAGCAATAGCAATAGCAGTTAGACTTATATACCGCTTCATAGGCCTTTCAGCCCTCTCTNCCCAAATACCATGCCCTCCCTCCCCGTTTCATGGCAGCTGAAGCAACAGCAAAGCAGAAGCTGACATCATCATTGCTTCTATCAAATAATTGGATTAATTTAATTTCAATTAAATATTCCTATAAAAATAACAAAGTGAATCCTACTTGATTTTAACCTATTAATGGATAGAAGCTGTACTAAAACGTGACCTAAAAGATGGGCATGCACTTAAATGCAAATTAAAATTGAGGAGGAGGACGAAAATTAGGCATAATCTCTTACTAGTTTAGGAATCCAGAAATGACCTAAAACAATCCTTCTAGTAGACCATGGTCTACGAAGCTGAAGAACGTAATGTAACTTGATCAACTCATTAACTCTCATTTAAAGAGATTTGTACAGCATTCCACTGCAAATGGATTCTTCCTGATTCACTGATTCAAGAGGGGAAAAAAAGAATGAAATGTAAAAGTATATTTTGAACACGAATTAATCATTGTCAGGAAGATACGCTATGCTTTGTGAAGAAATATCTATACACAATATCAAAAGGCATCCTGCAGTCAGGGCAAACGGATAAGCAGAATTACTGGCTACATTATTAAAAAGAAGTTGTTCCTCTAATTTTTTTTTCTTCCTGTGGCTGACAAAACCAAAAGACTCTCTCAAATGTCAAAATGCCAATGTTGTTGAATTTCATGTAGGAGATAAAATTCCCAGTGCTTCTACAGGTAAAACAAACTTTAAGAAGGATTCTAGCACTTTTGTAATGATGGAATACAACCTTAGGCAATATACATTCATAATCTCTCAGGACGAATGGCTTTAAAAATGCAACAAATTACCCCATTTATGATTTGGGAAAAAGAATTTTTCTGGCAGTCTCCTAAAATGCACATAAGACATAGCGTGAAAACTGCACTCTAGCAGCCTGTTTTCATTAGCAATTAATTCTTCATGCCAAATCTATACAACATCAATTATACTATTAGAATATAAGTATTTTAGACCAAGAGTGCCTGTCCCTTTACTTGAGTTGTTTGTTCAGCCAGAAAAAAGCATCTCGAAGGTGCCCTGAAAGGCAGGTATTGATTTCCCCAGTGAAGGGAAATCCTCACGTTGCAAAAAGCCAGCATCCTTAATGCTATGGGCATTGCTGTGCAGGTAGCTAACACTGCTGTTTTCTTCTTTCTGCTTTTTTGTTTAGAATAGGAATAAACATTGGATTTAAATAAAATTCTACCATGAATATCTCTTCCTTGCTTTAGGCCCTGCATTCACCATTCACATGTACACATTGCAAGTGTGCACCTGCACACACATCTTTATGGCGCATGTTACATTAGAATGTAAGAAGAATTCTGCTCGATCTGGCAAGACCTATTCAGTTCAGCATTCTCTGCCACATGGGCTAAGATTGTCCAGCTCAGGGGTACGAG